CTGTTTCAAGCAAACAAATTTGGCTGTGTTGTAATGTCTGTTTTATTTTGATAACAAACTCCTCTCAATCAGAGTTTTACGTCTTATTATGTGCCTTTTAGTTGAAGAGACAAGATCCATTCAGTTCCTTAGAAAGTTAAATATATCTGGGCTTTGTGACATGTTAGATCCTGATTATTGAATTTTCTGTCAACAATTAAGCCTGATTACTAATTTCCAGGACATATTAATATACCAAATACTGATGTTATTACTGATTAAATGGTTTTGGCTTTCCATGCGCAGGAATGTCATTGGTCCTTCCTGATCAAGTGGATCACTCCTTGAAGTTATTTATCCCTTTTGAGGCCATACATTAGGCAGGTAAAAGGTTTGTTGCTTTGGCAAATGAAGCTGGAATGTGTGACCGTCATTCCTGCCAGGAACTATTTATCCTTTTATCTAAGCAATGATGCTTCTTTTTGGATGTCCAAGGGTAAAGAGATAATAGCTAGGAAACCAGGGTGAAACCTTTGTGAAAAGGCATTTGGCTGAATATTGCATGATTAATGCTGCTTTCTTTGTCTGTTTTTCCCACTTATTTTTTTCTTTAGTGTATTTAATAATACCAAAATATTTTTTTATGTGGGGTCAAAACTTAATACTGACAAAAAAAAAGGTCAGTATAAAGTTTTTAACTCTAAGTTCCTTTAACTTAATGACTTTAATTACCTTTAACTTTCTCTTCTGAAAGTCAGTTCTGCTCTATGTCCTCCCTATTTTATTCCCAAATTTCTTTTTCTCTATCTTTTATATCCTTTTACATTGTCACCATCTCCCTCCCCAGAAGGCTGCCTTTTAAGCTACAAAATCTATTGGCTGTTAAGTCAGTTTAGTTGCCACTTTGTAATTTTCTCTTCATCTGTGTCCATAGTGAATTTGGTTCGATCTTTGGAGGCCTGCAACACCAAGTATGTAAAAAGAACCATGTCAGCTAGGAAGATAAGAGACTACAATAACTGTTGCTTTGGCATGGACCAGTATTGGATATGCAAGAAGAAAACTCTGATATTTGTATTTTACTTCATAGGAATACTTACGCTTATTTCAGGTAACAATAGTTCTCACCCTGATTACAGGACTTCAAAAACGTTCTTGTCTCTGCCTTTCCTTATTCCTGCAGATTGTTTGTGTTTTCAAACATTTGCACTGTTGAGAGTGGGGGGAAAAGCTTTCTGCCTTCCTTGCCCTCCCCAGCTCTCTGTCCCGCCCCAGCTGGCTGAGCAGGCAGGGTGGGAGCAGCAGCACAGCCCGAGCCTCTCAGTCAGTGCCATTCTTCAGGGTCTGCCACGTGCTGTAACGCCAGTCCTGTGCTTGAGGAGTGGTAAGTGAGACCTCTGTAACTACTCCTGCTGACTTAAAAACCCATCTCCTTATCAGTATTAAAACAGTACAAGAGCAGAGCTGTTGCTTTAGGCACATTTCTTGCCACTGTGTTGGCTGATGAACCTTGAATGGAAGTAAGAGGGCCAGTGACTTTAAAATAGGAGCTGTTAGCCAAGTTTTGTAGAATCGTAGTCCTTATTTATTTTATATGCTAGTCTGCACTTGTGACCCTGAGCAGAAAAGCTGCAGTACAGCAGGTTTTATAAGCTGTGGCTTAACCAGTTATCTAGTCTCTTAAAACTCTTATTTAAGCTGACTGGTTTCATGCACAAGTTCAAAACCTGTTGTCATTAATCATTAAATGCTATGCATATTTGTACATTCATTTACATGGATTGTTCTACTAGTGCTTGTGTGTATTATGCTACATTACCATATTTTTTTATATATGTATGTATTGCATGAGGTTTAATTGTTGGGAATTTTTTGTACTGTCAGTTTTGTATTCACACAGTGCCTCATGTATCTATTTGCATATTGCAAGAAGTTATTTCAAAACAGTGATTGGAAACAGGTGGGGAAAAGAACTTGCCACTGTAGGATCCTGATGGTTCTGAAGTATTAATAAAGTATAGTGACTCAAAGCACTGTTTGTTTCTTTTCTTAAAGTTCTATTTCATTCTAATATTTCAGGTGCCTCGTGTTGCGACTTTTTTCATGTAGGTCATGTTGCACATCTTTGAGTGGTTACCCTGTCTCACCTCATTACCTTCTTTCATAGGGCTTTTCTGGGAAGAAAGATCAGTGGAAGCACTAGAAGGAAGCAATCCTTGGGATTACACAGTGTGCTTACTTGAAAAGATGAATGTCACTGAAACCATTTCAGGACTGTGTACCTCTAATTCATTGATTTGATCTGTTCCTTCGTTTTCCCATCTGACCACAGTGACAATGCAGGTTAAGTAGGGTGTACTGCTGGTGTCCTGCAGTAACAGGATCTGAATGGCTCTGTTGCAGTCAGATATGGTGACAATTTATTTACTTGCACACTTGTTAAAGAAGTGGTCTTTGACCATTGAAGTGGGAGGCTGGAGAACAAATTCTCATAGTATGTTAGGGCTAATTTACTGCAGAACATAGAGAAAGTTCTAAGAGGAATAGTAACCTGAAATACAAGGCTTGGAAGCTAAGCTAACCTGTGTGATTGTTCCTGAAGTGCAGGTGTTCATATCCTCATGAAAGGAAGACATAAGGAGAGCAGGACAGAGATGGGAGACTTGACAAAAGGCAAGCTTTAACAAGGGGATCTGAGAGATGCACTCTTTCAGGAGGTTTGTCTAAATGCTTTTGTATTTATCCGAGAGAGAATAAAAGTCTACAAGAGCCCAGAATGCTGCATCACAGGGAAGCAGATGAAGTATTTCTTGAAATACAAAAATAAGTATAACCATAATGAATCATTATGATTATATCTTGATATACCAAGACCAGGTGTGTTCTCGTCAAGATGTTATGGGCATGCTTTACCTACTTCAGATCAAACCTCAAGTCTCTTGGAAATATCTTCCATTTCATTTTTCTAAGTATCTTTTTTTTTTTTTTGGTTTGTTATTTTTTTAACAGGAAGAATTGCAGGGGTGAACTTCATTTGTAATGATCCCTAAAAAAGCAGCACATTCCCAGAAAAGTGTAGGCTGGGGATTTGCTTGAGTAGGTTTAGCAGCAGTTTTCCAGCCTGTGATTCACTGGGCTCACCAGGGAGCGCAAGCAGCAGCTGACTGCTGCTGTTCTTCCGTGGTTTTGTAAAGCAGCTGTGGGAATCCATCAGCCAGGTAACTCCACAGTCCAAAGGCAGCTACACTGATCTTTGCCAATAACAGCACAGAGCTGAACAAAGCCACTCCAGTGTCTCATGGGAATCCCGGGCTCTTCCCTTCCCAAAGAGTGCTGCCTTCCTCTAGGTCAGAGCCCATTCCAGCTGCAGCTGAGAACAGGACTGGACATCACTGTTTATTCTCCTTGCTGATGCCCAGCATTGGCTTTGTGTCTCCTTTTGAATAGTAGGAGATGAAATCCAGGCATTGCTGATTCTTGGCTGTGCTGTCGTACTCGTGACTGTTTTCCTTCTCATCCAACAGATCCCCACCACCCATGTGTTCAACATGGGGCTCAGAGCCAACCTTCTGCTCCAGGATTCCAGTCATTGCAGTCTCTATTGCTGAAGGGTTTGAGCAAGAAACAATCAATAAGCCTATGGAAGTGCATATAAAGGAGCAGCCTTTTGGTCAGTTTGGGTCAGCTGTTCTGGCTGTGCTCCCTCCCAGCTCTTGTGAACCTCCTCAGTGGCAGAGCCTGGAAGACTGAGATGTCCTTGATTTAGAGTAAGCACTGCTTAGCAACAACTACCGCATTAGTGTGTTATCAACATTACTCTCACACTGAATCTAAACTACAGCACAGTACCAGCTACTAGGAAGAAAATTAACTCTATCCCAGCCAAAACCAGGGCTCTGCCAACAGCCTGGAAATGCCTGTCCTCTCCACCTGGGAAATGAAGTGAGCAGAAGTGTTTCTTCAGAGACTGGGAGAACTTTAAGAAATATGGGTTCTCCTAGTAATGCAGACTTCACATCTCTGCAATTTGGTAAGGGATAGAGAAAACATTTTCTGCATCTAGATCAAGTTTGCTATTCAGGTAGCACTAATATAGATTAGATTACAGGCTTTCATCTTACTGTCTCTATTTTTTTTTTTTAAGAAATTGAGCATAACCTTGAATATGTCATGCAGAAAGTTGTTTACAGTTTCTACATGTAGAGACTGTAATGGGTATTTACCTGTTTCACCAAACTGATACTGCAGTTTTGCTCATGTAACTGTGCAGGTCTTTTATGGTCAATATCTGTTATATTTTAAAAAAACCAAACAATCTTGGTGGGTTTTTTCCAAAGTGTTAAGCCGTTCTTGCACTCTTCTGGTTTGTATCACTAACAAAATCTGCTACTGGTTGCACTACAGCAGATTCTTAATATCTTGTTAGATGCTTTTTGATGCTTGTGTTTTGTTTTGGGTGTTGTTTGGTTTTTTGTTGTTTTTTTTTTTACTGGAGTCAAAATGTTTTGAAGTTTGGATTTGCCACGTTCACATGTTGTTATGTTGAGCTGTTTGGAAAGGATCTCAAGTTCTCATTAGAATGAGAAAATATTTAAATGTTTAAATGCTGCAGCTGTTACCTAGCCTTCAAGTAGAAGTAGCTCTTGGAAAAGACTACTTTGAACAAGCCTTGACAAAGATAAACCTGCTCATTTTATACAAGAGTTCACAGTATGCTTGAGGCATATAGTAAGGCAAACCCAAGTCCTTTTGCATAGCCTCGAAGAAAAATTCCAGCTATGCTGTGGTGAGCCAGGCTAGCTGCAGAACTGCAGTCTGCACTTTGGTGATGTTCTCTTTTCCCTGAGAGCGTTGAACCAACCACAGAAAGGAGACTTCCCACATCATATTCTGGGCTGTAGAGTAAGCATTTCCAGGAAAAAGTCTGGGACTCCCTTGTACCCAGCCTGATTTTCTGCGTATCGCGCAGCTGCTGAGCCCTTGCATGTGCCAGGGCAGCGGCCGGTGCCGAGGGGAGGCAGGAGGGGCTCGGCAGGTGCCGCGTCCCTCCGGGGCTCTGTGTGCCACCCCTAGAGGGCTCCCGCCTTCCTTCGGCCGCAGCGAGCCGCAGAGCCCGGCAGAGTCTGCGGGAACCTGGCAGGGGAGCCCCTGCCTGGGCTGTGCTGTCCTTCCTTTAGTGTTTTCCTCCTTTTTGCATCTCTTAGTCAAGATTAAAAAATTCTGAAGCCTTCTTTATATAGGATATAGAAGGCATTTCTCTGTGTTTTTCTACAAAGAGATGCCTCTTTTTTAATCTTTTAGTTGACAGCCCAGTTCCTTTATGAAACCACATTCTGGTGTCAATGTGGGGAAAGGAAAAAATAATTCTAACAATGGATGAGAAGACAGTTCAGGCTTTCTGCCTAATTAATTATAGTCATTTAAAATCTTGAGCAAAGTCTATGCTTGGAGAAGTTCTAAGTTATAATTAAACCATGCTGCTAACGATGGATCTAATTGTTGGGTTACAGACAAGCACAGGTAACACAAGTTGGGCCACTGACAACAGATATTTTACCCAATTGTTTTCTGTTGATGCAGCTAATTCCACACAACTGTTCCAGCAGCCAGAATGACCAGCATGGGGTGAGTGCAGAGGCATGTTAGGAGTTTTCCCTGACAGACTTGACTGGCACAAGGTCATTGGTCTTTACAGGTTCCATGTCCTCTGTGGTGCTGGCTGTCAGAAGGCTCCCTGGAGCACAGCTGCTTTAGCCCTGCTCCTGCTGAACCCCTACAATGACAGACTTGGAGACAGGAGAATGGGTCAGCCACTGAGATGACTCTGCCAATTCTTTCTTTCTACCCTATAGCTTTCTGAAGAACAGAAATGGTGCCATTGAGATCAAGGTCAAATTCAACAGTGAAAGCAGGCTTTGGTGTTGCGCTGGTGAGTCTGCTTTTAAAACTAAACAGTAATTCTCTCCCTCTCTCTGTCCCCCCTCCAAAGGATTTCCATCTCTTCAAAGTGAGAGAAATATCAACTCATATATAAGTATGAGTTACTCTTACTGTAGATCTAGGACTGGTTGCCTGTACAATTTTTAGGCCTAATGGATCAGGACACTAAAGTGAGTATCAAATTCCAGAAATTCAGTACTAAGGTGACATTTAAAGTCTAAATACAAGGTGTTTGAAAGTTACCAGCTAAATCACTGAAACAATGTTCCTGCTGCACACGGCAGTGATACCAGAAATTTGTAAGGAAAACATTTCAAGTGCTGGATTTTGTACTGACACTAAAACCTTTGGAAAACAGTTTAATCTTCCTCCCCATACCAATTATGTTCTTCCTCATGGGGAAGTTTATAAGGCTGGGTTTTGCCTAAATTGTAGCATTTCAATTTGTCTTGGTTTTGTTTGCTTTCTAAGGTAAAGAGGTTATAGATCTGTGTTCCCAGTCCTAAGATTTGTAATTGGTGGTTTTTACTTTTTTATTTACTTGGTAATGCTAGCAAGAGATTGGAAAGGACTGTTTTCTGCAGGGCAAAGTAGACATGAAGGGGATCTGGGCAATTTAGTGGTTTTTACTTTTAGGTAGTTTAAGGAAGAGCTAATGAATACACCCTAATACAAATATTAACAAAAAGTCTTTGTTTCTTCCTCCTACTAATAATCACCTTTTGTAATGGAAGACACATTGCAGAAGCTGCCCCTGCCATTAGAAAATTGTCTTCTAATATTTTATTGTTAATGACCTTTTAAGTCAGTGAGCTATTCCCACTAGCAGTTGGCCAGGCCAGGATGTGCATTAGCAGGCTAATGGCAGGCAGCCTTGCTGTGTCTCATGGCAATCCTCTGGAGCTGGTTGCATCACTTGGAGCACTTAATACTGCCTTTAGCTCTGCTAAAGCACTTCTTGTGCTCCCATCACCTCCTTTGGGAGACTGCTCCATTGACAAACAGATCTCACTGTCAGGAAGTGTCTTTCCTGTTCTTCAGTCTTACTGATCTCGGCTCCAAAATATATAACTGTAAGTTCTTTGACTACTCTTCAATGAAAAGTTTAAAAAAGAAAAAAAAAAAAAAAGAACAAAAGTGATCACACTTGTATAAAAAAATAAACTGAAATAACTTGGTTTCCAGTCTTTACTGTAAAACTTGTAGAACTTGGGGTTTTAGTTAAATGCTGCCTGCAGATATTTTTGGCTGATGGCAGCAGGATCTTGAAGCTGGCTAGCATTAAATCCACTCATAAATAAAACTACTGCGCCTTTGGGTCTGTCAGGGACTGATGTGTGTGCCTGTGTCATGTACAAAAGCTGGCAGCTAATGAAAGCCACACAGAGCTGCTCAGGGAAGTTTGTGAGGTTACACAATACACTAGCTGAGATGTCACAGGAAAGCCAAGGGCTGGGGGTGTGGAGGGAGGACCACCGGAGCTGCATTTTGCAGAAAAATGGTGTCAGCACAAGAGCAGCCTGCAAAACTCCCGGGCTGGGCAGGGGGAGCCCTCCACAGCCCGGGAGAGAGGCTGGTGTGCAGGAAGTAGCTGGAGAGGGGTTTTCACAAGGACCTGTTGTTTGGTTGTTCAGATTATATCAGTGTTCTGGCTATTGAGAGGGATTTGGCCTTTGGGTTTTGCTTTCGGCTTTATTTATTTTTGCTTGTTCTCAATTCTCTTTGTGAATACCAATATTCTGAGTCACTCAGAATGATTTCTGCCTTCATTAAAGATTCCTTCCAGCTCCCCTTCTACTGCCTGTAGGCTGGTGCCTGCCCTGCCTCCCCCTTTGCACTTTGCTGCACATATTTAGCTCTCAGTATTCCACCACTTCTCAACTCCTGCAGCTCTGGCACCTGAGTACCTTCAGTTCTTTGCACAATTTGTGTTAATCTGATCTCTTCTGCATTGTTCTTGCACTGTCCCACATGTTTCCCGTGGTATGAGGCTACAGTTTATCCCAGTGCTACAGCAGCTCTGCTTAGAGCTGATTGAGTGAAATGCTTCAACCTGGAAACCAGGCATCCAGTGTAACTGTTTCTGGTACACAGCTCCTCCTGTGTCACCCGTAATGAATCCATTTACCTATTTGCCTTTGTTTCTTTAATATGCATTGGTGTTGAAACTGTCTATGGTATCTACACCAAACAGGGCCATGTTTCTCTAAAACCAAAATTAAAAGATGCACTATACCAAAAATGTAATTGTATAGTGCTTTAAGGGATGTTCCTATATGAACTGCTGAGCTCTGTCACACTCTAAGGCTCATGTGTAAGAAAATACAAATCAATAAAGAAAATAACCTGGGAAGGAGGATGGGTCACTGTGTCAATACTGTAGATGCCTTAGAGCTTGTTAATGACTGTCCCTAATGGTATTCAAACAATCTACGTTTGCTTTAGCTTTTTTCAAAGTCCAGATGAGCTGCTCAGAGCTCTCTTAATGATGTGAATTATTTAATGCTCATTTGTATGCAGTATGTTCCTGCTTTGAAAGTACTTCACAGAATTGGAACCAAATTCAGCCTTGCAGCTCCACTGAAGTCAGTGCTTGTCTGTGCATCTGTTGGTTGCCTCTCTTTTTTGTTTTGATTGAAGAGTTACCCTCTTGTTATGCTGATAATATTTTTTTAAAGGTAATATCTGCAAAGGATTTTTCATCACTCTTCTCTCCTCCCAAAAAATCAGCTGTAAGTACAGAAGCAGTTCTGCTGATTCTCACATCTCCCTCTTAACCCCTGCAAACTAAGCAGAATACAATTTTGGTGTTCTTTTCTTTCCTTTACTTTGCACCTCCTAAGCACAGTTTCAGTGGTATCTGGCACTTCTCCTGAAAATCATCCTGCAAAGAATCTTTGCCATCTGATGTATGCAAGATATTCTCTGTGGCCCATTTCTTGTTTAACACAACATGAATTGGTGGAGACCAAAGTCTTCAACAATTCTGCAGGTTGGTTTTGCTCAGTGTAACAATGTCAGGATGTATTTTCTTGTTATTGAGAGCAACAGGCAGAGGAGCCTACCTGAAATTTTGAATTAAAGTAGCTGCTGAAAGGTGAAACAGACTCTCTTAGTTCAAGCACAAACTCGTTTTTAGCTAGACTTGATACTTGCAGTATTCTTGTAATGTAGTTTTTCAGTCATCCCAACCATGTTTTTAGCACACACACTGAAGAAAATAAAGAATCATTGCAAAGATATTGTTCACTCCCTCTGGGTAACGAGTAGGGCATGATTTTCAGCTTGCAGCACAGACCCACAGCCATCTACTGCCTGCACAGAGGAAGTGGGAGGAATGGAAAAGCAACCTTTCTAGATGTGCATGTCACTAGAATGGGCAGAGACGTTTCTTGTCAGGTGTTAGAGATTTGCTGGCAGCACAGGGATGAGTGCTGAGACGTGGGAATAATGGGTTCATTTCCAAGCTCCACAGCAGATCAGCAGATCAATCTAGATGCCCTGATGCCCTGTTTTACATAATGGAGTGTATGACTGCTTCCTCTTTCCCTTTTCTGCAGTACTGCCCTCCAGCTCCTGCCTGGGTTAATTTGGATGTTCTCTATTGCTCACTCCTTCCCTGCTCCCCTCAACTCCTCCCTCCCCACTGCTTGCCCATCCCTTTTGGCCTGCATCTCTTCCCTCTCTCCTGCTGGGATGGATGTAATCCTCAGTGGAATGTGGCCTACAGGCCTCTGCAGGACTTGGGCGTGTGGCTCTGGAGAGCCACTGATGCCGAATGTAAAGCAGGAAAACACAGCCTCCTATCACCTGGCAGCCCAGGGAGGGAAGAGCTGGATATCTGTGGGCTGTTCAGTGTGCCTGGATGTCCAGACAGCTTATCAGATGAAAAATAGAGGCCAGACTTTTAGGCTTCATGTGCCATTTCCCTATTCATTGTGTCTGGGTGATGTATTCTCGGCCTGTGGTTTGAATAAATATCTTTCATAGCTACTTTCTGCTTCAGTCCCCCTTGGGACAGCTCTTTCCAACTCAGCTGCATCAGTGTGCTGAAGATGTGAAGTCCAAGTGTGTGGAACAGAGGAAAGAGGAGAGAGAACTTCATGCAGAACATCTAAGAAGCTTTAGCTTCAATCATATTTCTGTGAAAGCTGCTGCACACAACACAAGCTTCACCTGCAGTGTAAGTTGCACACAAATCTCTTACTCAGGACTCTTCTTCCCTTTCCTCTTTGTATTTATATGTTCACAGAGTATTCAAAGTATTTGCAAGGAGAATCCCAAGCTACTGGTGGGACCCAACCTTTGCATTTGGGATGTTGGTGTGTTTTAGAGAGTATCCTGGAAAAGTAACAGGGATGTAATGGAATAAAGAAATCACAATTCTGTCTGGGGAAACTGAGTTTTGTTTTATGTAGTAAGCACCCATCTCAACCCTGCTAGAGCTGAACAAACCCCCTTCTCTAGCAGAAACCCGAGTTGTTGTTAATTAACGTCTTGCTGAAAACTAAGTCTTTGCCATCTGTTCCGCCACCTCACTACGAATGCTGCTCTCATGTTGATTATGTAAGTAAAAATGAAAATATATTTTGGTAGAGTGCTGCATGGCACTGTGCTGATTCTTCTCCTGTTTCTATTTACCATTCCCAGCCCCCATCCCACAAGGAAAGGAAAAGGTGACAATTTGCTAAACAGAACTAAATGCTCAGATACTTTCAAAAAGCGTCAGAAGCTGCTTTCATCTCGGCAGCTTTATCCTGGAGCTGCTGTCCTGGCTGCTGAGCCCTGCATGTTGTGGGAGCAGCCACCTCACCCTGCTGTGTTTGAGCCCTGAGCCCTTTGCAAACCCTGCCTATTATTAGGTTCCTGAAAAAGCCATGGTGGGAAGATGCCCCTTAAGGTGAAGCTGCTCTGAATTCTTGTGAGGGGTTAACTTGAAATGCAGAAGAAGAAAAGTGAAAAGGAAGGCCCGGTTACTCCATAAGTGATAGCCTGACCTCTGGGAGCAGCCTGCTGCTCCTGTTACAAGCGTAGCCTCTGTCTGTCCAAGGGTGGAGAAGGAGAGAAAGAGGAGGGGTAGCTTTCCTGTAAGTGGGTTAGAGCAATTACTGAGGTCTCTTACAGCAAATGAAGTTGTCAGTGTGAGTCACATTCCCTTTTTTCTCTCACTGCCAAGTTTTAGGTATAACCAGACAGAGAGAGAGAAAAAAAAGGAAAAGCAACAATGGGGTAAAGTTGAACTGGAACAACCCTTCATTCGGGGTATTGTTTGATGTTTTAGCTCTGATTGTACATAGAGATAAAGGATCTATAAATATCCTGTCTGCTGAAATTCCTTATCACAACATCGCCTGTCAGCTGAACAAATAGGTTAGGTTCTCAAATAATACATAATTACAATTATGTATGTAAATACAAAATTACTGATTAAATCCCTGCAATATCACATGCAACGGAGCCTCATCACTGGAGACCACATTAACCTCTTGTGGTGCACTAGAGCTGCCTCAGCCTTAGGACAGCAAGTGGCACATGCAGCTGTTAGTGCTGAAACAGCAGGAGCTTGGAGACTGGGCTGGAATAAGCAAGGAGATATTTATCTGCATGACTAGGCTAGATGAAAGCATCTTCTGACACTTTTTGAAAGTATCTGAGCATTTAGTTCTGTTTAGCAAATGTCTGGAACCTTTTCTACTCTGCTTTAGAGCTTTTAATGAAGCATTGTGATTCCCATTGTGGTCAATTGTTTGACACTTTTATTATTACTGGTATGCAGAGCGGTTTTTAATGTTTGACAGCTGGAGAAAGAAGTATTTTGTGCATTGAAACTTTTAGCACAAAGCTGCTGTTTTCCATTCTGCCTTTGTCTTTTATTCTTGCTGATGCAAATCAGCAAAAGACAGAACTGATTAAATTACATTTGTTTATTTCTTCCTTGATGATAATAAGACACAGCCTGCCTTTTATAAAAGAAATAGAGGATGTGACTGTTTCTACAGTATTTCTAGAAAGGCTTTTTTTCCCCTTACAAGATAAAGGCATTTATTTGTTTCTAATGTCTTGATTTAGCAGATAATGTGCACTTCCTAATGTGTGTGGAACAAGAATAGAGCTATGAAGGACAGTTAGCAATGAATTCCATTTGGAAAGCTTCTATCTTGTTATTTTTATTAATCCAACAGTATAAATTAGCAGAACACATCACAAAACAAACACAGCAAGATACTTCTGTCCTTCACAGTAGGCCTGCTGATCACTGCACAGAGCAGTGCCCTCCATTGCAGGCTTTGGGTTTATACAGCCACAGTCCTGCTACTGGGTCCTGCCTTCAGGGCACTGGTACCACTGCAGAGAAAGGAGAGGCACAAATAGGATTCCCAGGATTGTTTTGGTGAGTAATGTGCATGTCTTGGGGATTGTGTAATTTTATTTTTTTTTTTTTGAACACTTGTCCTGAGAAAGGAGGACTGGGTTTCTTGCTTGCACAGTTTGCAAGGGAAAATTTCTAGTGGAAAGGCTCTCCTGATCCAGGCTGCTTGTGAGAGGGTAGGACAATGTCACCAGGAGCACAGAGAATTATAGCTGGGAGACTTTGGGAAGCATAAATGGCAGAAACAGGAGAGCCAGAGGACAAACAGAAAGGAGATAGTTAAGGAAGCCATTACAAAACTACCCTCATGATTCCTTTTTCCTGCATTTTTCAAAAACAGAGAAAAGGGTGGCAAAGGCAAGAGAAGTACGAAGGCTTCTCAGCAGTGTAGTCAAACCTCCTGATTTTACAGCTGAAACTAGTCTTAGGGAGTGATATCACCAGGCAGCTGAGCCAAATCTAAAGGACTGCTGGTATCAAAATGATGCTTCTGCTTCCAGTCATGCTGCTTTCTTTGTACAGGCCTGGTGCTTGTCTGACTCTTTAATGAGCTCATGCAGCTCAGTAAATGGCAAGAAAATTAATTCAGTAAAAAATATACCGGTCCAGGAAAGGAGAAGAATTGGACACTGTGAGAATGGAGACTGCAATGAGTGGGAGAAGTACAAACATCAGAATTTTGCTGCACATTTGGGGTGTTTTGGGGGGTGCCTTGCTCCTAGTTGATGCTTAACCTCTCACTTCATCTCCTAGGTGGGGCTTCCCTCAAAATGGCACAGGATGAACACGCCTGAGCAGGGAGGTGACTGGAGAGGTAAAGGAAGGTCACCCCTGGGGCAGAGAGAGGATTGAATGGGACTGCAGCAGCCCAGCAGGATGCTGACATGGGGAAGAGTGTAGTACAAGAGGAACCAAGAAGGAAAGGGGACACTTGCAGAGTAACCACAGAAGGTTACTGCAACAAGCACTGGAAAAATGCTTGAGTATAGAGTAATGGTCCCATCTTCCTAATCTAGCTTTTAAAGGGTTTATTCTCATCTATCCCTGTAGCTGCCCCTGAAGGTGCTTATGACCCTTATTTAGCCATACATTTCTTTAAATTGAGTTTTGATAAGAGGACAGCTGCTGCATTTTTATTATCTGTGATAAGCAGCAGTAAAATCTGTTTAGAGTTCATGATGGAAATGTATCCATATATTGGCAGTTCTCCAGCTGCACTTCACAAAGGTAAATGGGACATGAGAGTGGTGAACTGCCCCCTTTTAATCCATTTTCTCTAGACTAGGGCACTTTGCCTCTCTGCAGGAGAGGCCAGCACAGCTACTGTGCTAATAAACACTCATTCCTCACTGCAGCATCTGCACTTCCCAGACTCATAAATCCAAGCAACTTGTAGTTGAATAGCAATTAAATATCCACGTGCATTTCCATAGCACGGTCTGGTGCACAAGGCATAGGCTAAGTGGCTGCACATCTGCTGTCTGCTCCCCCACACGTGCTGCTTGACAGAGCGCGATCACTTAACCTTATCCTGCCACCAGTAATGGTACATGGAAAATTGGATGCAGAGCATCATCCTACAGGTATTTTGCCATATCTTTCTAAAAGAATGATGTGCTTTCTTGTTTGGGTTTTTGTTTTGTATTTTGTTTTGGTTTTGTTGTGGCTTTTTTTTTTAAGCAGCTGTTATTGTCTTTCTCTCAGGATTTCCAGGCCATGGATTCAATCAGGCTGTTAATGTCAGTTGGAAATGAGACATCAAATTGAAAAGTTACTTGATATTCAGGACACTGATATATCCTCACAACAGTTTTGTGTCACTTGTACAAAACCCAGAGACTTGGTAATGCAGTAAGATAAATGTAGTGCCTGATTACAGTGGATGTATCGGACTTATAAAAGGCATCTCTTATCATGAGGCTGTGTGTATCTGCAATAATAACCACCATATGTCAGGTAAGACAAAGATAATGTGAGCCAGATCATTTTCCCATTGTTAAAACTGCCAAAATCCAAAAAGCTACAAATGTCTTCATTATTAATTCAATTTTGCTACATCTAGTGCTGGTAGCTGGAGGGAACATCTTTCTGAGGTTCAATTTTTCCTCTAGTCTAACTGATAACAGTCTGTGTAGCAGAGTTTTAAATTCTATAGCCATTTAAAGAAGTAGAATTGTACACAGTCATTGCCCATCTTGAATTTCCATGCAGCAGGATTTTACCACATGAAACTGCAGTTCAGATGTTCTCATCTTGAACAAACAGATAAGCCTTGCACTTTGCTTTGAACTTAACGTGAATTTAACAGTGGTGAAGCTGTATGAGGCACCAGCCTGTCTTGTGTCTGACTGTACAGTGTTTTTGTTGTACAGTTGCCTATCAAAATGCTTCCCCATGGAACTGGCAGAAATCTTGAATTCCCTCCCCAACCCCCACCCCGTGTGTTTGTCAGCTGCAGACCAAGTCCCAGCCAGATCACAAGAACATCCTGAATCAGTCACAATAATTTGCATTTCCTTGCCAAAGATTTTATCTGCTGGGGGTGGAAATTGTGCCATCAAGGTTGCTGGTGTTGAAAAATCTGCACCCTTCTGCTCCTCAGCTCTTCCTTTCCCAGCTAGGTTAATTTATCCAGAAGAATTAATTGAAGGAACAAAGCTGACAAGTTAGAAAGGCCACACAGCAAGACAGCACCACTCTGAACATCTGCACAGTTTGTGTATTTGATTAAGTACCTCAGTACTGGCAGATTATTGTTGTTAAAAGCAAATCTTACTTTTGCCATTTTCATACAAGACTCTCTCCTGTTGTTCTGCAGATGTTTGTTCTCTGTATCTCTACATTGCTTAAAAATGATGAATGATGATAGTAAAAATTACACATGCTCATTCAAACATCTTGCTGTTTACATATAAGAAAAATCATGTGCTGGGGCGCAATGACCTAATGAGAGATGTGACATGGCCTTCAGCAAGAGCTGGAAGGGACCCTCAAAATCTACTGCTTTCACACAAATTGTCCTCCAATATATATAATGAAAACCTTCTTTTGTTTTTAATGACAGATGCCAGGGGTTGTATGTTTGAGTATTATTTTTTCTCTAGGAGTGCTTATTAACAAATGCTTGCAAGTTTTATGATGTGGTGAAAAATGTATCACTCATGATAAACAGGAAGTGCTCAGAGGTATTGCATTACCCCATAATGCAACACAGATTCCAACAGCTTGGCTCTTTTTCTCAAAATATGGTGACACCACTTCCTTTAGGAAATCTCTCTTCTCTTCACAGCTTTTATCTGCTATAGATATGCAAAACTGCAAAAGAAATATTTCTTTTTTAAAATGGTGATTCATCAGTTTTGGACTGTAGATACTAATGTCTATCATTTATACAGAATCTATTAAAAATAAGCAGTAAAGACCTTTTGAGCTGTCAGATCAGTGGATTGAACAAAGTGAAAGGAAAGAAGACTGATACCTGCCGTCTCTCTAGCAGCATAGGTGTAGACAGCAAAGATGCAGATTTCCCTGCAGCCTGCCCAGCAGAGAAGAGGGAATCCTGTTTCCTTGCCACTTGCCCAGGAAAGCCCAGTGTGATAGTTTGTATGTGGAACCTTCATCCAGAATTGCTGTGCTATTGGCCTGCAGCTTACTCTAAAGGCTGCCATGCACTCGTCATGGAATGTACAGCCATTAATGCTGGCTGAATGTTCAACCCTGGTGAAAATCTCAGAGTGCCATTAGTGTACTGTTCCCTATCACTTGTTTCTGTTCAGCCACTGCCCATGGTTTAGATTACATCTAATCAAGGCAAGTAGGACGTGTACTTGTGCCACCAGAGTCATCAGCCGCACGCGTTTGTGCTGAGCGTCACCCCGGCAGACGCCACGTCAGGGAAAGCAAGTCCTGGTGAGCTCTTTTTAGCAGGCCTGGCACCAGTCCCCAAACTGGTTCTCCCTGAATAGACTTGTGTGTCTGCCAGGGGCTTCACTTGCACACAGCCAGATGCAGTGGGGTCTGGATATCAGCCCTCCAACCAAGGCCCTTCTATTCCCACAGCCCAGTCCCACTACCTGTTCATTTTACTTGTAATTTACATTCTCCCCCTCCATATTCTCTTTTATTCATTCTTGCATCACCTTTTTTCCTCTGTCTTCACATCAGCCAACCTCTTCATTACAAAAGTTCCCTACATTTTTTGCTATGAGCAAAAAGCATTAAAAATGCAATATTTAGACAACATAAAATCCTAATAATCCTGTTTTTACATGCTTTGACTTCTGCCTCTGCTGGAGGCATCACTTGTCCTGCCTACAGCTGAACCAAAAATAAGTGTGGGGGAAACACACTGCATGTTCTAGTATTTGTAAATTATTAGACTTCTGAGGTTATGTAATAATTTTGTAAAATTATGTAAAAACTTTTAATTTATTAGCAGTCAATTATACCAGAAACAAGAGACTAATATTATGTACTAGCTAAATCTTATTGTAAGAACTTAATAGCCTTCCAGTGTACAAGGCTTCAGCACGGGAAAACAGGTGTCATGTAGCAGGACCTCAGTGAAGACTCACAAGTCGCTGTAATATGCTGTGTAAATACTTAATATGCGTATGTTTCATTTTGCCAGTCCTGTAAATTAACTTTTTATCTGGTTATTCAATTCTCTTATCATCCTCAGCTTGTTTACTGAATTTCATGTCTTGGGCAAGATGAAGCAAGCTCATGAGGAGTAGCTGGTTTTCAAAAGATACAAGCTCCAGATAACCGAGGACAAGTAAGGCACACAACAATATTGAAATCACTCAGAGTTTTATTGCAGCTGACTGAGACAGAGTGTGCTTTGAGGCTGGGAAATTTCCATTACTGAACTGCAGGACAGTGCTTGGATACTGCTACAACTGCAGTTGAAAAATAAAAGCAACTTAATTTTATACAGACAGCTACAAAATCTTAGTATATTAATTAAAATAGCTAGATTTATATGATAAGCTTTTAAGGTTGCTGTAAAATAGATCCCTTTAAAAATATTTAGAGTATGATTGTAAACTAATTGTTCAAAACTAAAGAATATGAAAATGATTTGAAATTGCAACTGTGTTTTCAAACTGTATTTGTGAACAGCAAAACTAACCAGAACATGATAGATAATACAAGATATCTCCTACAACAGTGACAGGTTCTGACAGTGACAGAATGATACCCAGTGCAGGATCAAGGCTGTTACTGACAGAATCATTCTGCAATTAATAATCTTTTGTGCTCCCCTTGGCATGCACAGAACAACCACAGCAATCTGTTTACTCATCTTAACTCCATGGTGTCTAAGCTCCATGCAAAGTCCACCAGAATGTTGAATGCAGAAAAAAGGAAATACTGGGGAGGAAAGTAAATTTCTTCTGGCACCAAGGCCCAGCAGTGTGGATGAGAGAGTGTTTTTAACCTCCCAGCAGTGCGAGATTACAGCAAGAGCCTCATTTTCATTAAGGTCACTTTACACTGCAAAAGCAGTGGTCATTCACATGAAGATGAGTCTCAAGGGATTTCTGATGTGTGTCACCTGTTCAGTCAAGCCCAGGTAGGTACTGACTAGAAGTTATTACCAGCTGACGCTCTTTCTGAATCTTAGGATAGTTCCCTGTGGATCAGAGCTCATATCTAAGCAATTTCAAGAACCATCACCATGGTTCCTGAGTGCCTTAGAAGTTAAAATATATCTTTATAAAACATTTTAACATGTCTTATTTCTCTCTCTCATCACCCCCACACAAAGGCTTGAGGTCTTTTAAAATAATTCTGGTAAAACTGTATGTACTTAATGCCAGTGTTTGGTTGGGATGATGGGGAGGTTCAGGTTCATGCTGACATACTTGTACAACAGCTACCAAGAAAGCCATGGCTGCAAATCACACAGCCGGTATAATTAAGATGATTTTAGGAGATGTGGCTTCAGTTTTAAATTAGCACAAAGATCTGAGATGCCTCCCACCCCCACTACAGAGGGACACCATAGGGCAGCTCCATGGTGTTTGTCCTCAGTCTGACCCAGCACTGCTGATCCCAGGGCTCAGGGGCCCTGTGGTACAATGTTCCCTTTTCAAGAGACCTATTTACAGAACAAGAATTAACAGTTAAAGCAGAAACGAGTAACAGTGCAGGGAATTTCTAGATCCTGATTGTAGGATGAACTCATTCATGTGACTCCTGAACTTGACTGAAGATGGAGACAGTCCAAACCATGACGTATTTACACTGACTTAGCTAATGGCTTAGCTTTTTCTTAATATTCTTGTTTCTGCTTACACAAACTCTTTTCAGCAGTGCTTTGATTTCTGTTCAAAATAAAAAGGTTTTTTCCTTCTGCTTCTCATTATCTGCTATCATTTTTTAGTAAGTATCACCTCTTCTCCCCCTTCATTTTGATCATGGAACTCAATTTTCTTAAAGCACGTTTATGTGCTTTCCAAAATCGAGGCTTTTATGTCACCTTATTAAGGCAAAAGATCCAACATTAAGTGCAGGTAATGGCTGAAAACTGATTGATACCACTCCCATCTGCTCTGCCTATCTCAGCAACTGCAGAGCTTCACTGAAACACTGCACCGAGTTCTGCCACAGCCACTTTCTCGGGTTTAATTGGATTAGACATATATTTGAACACAGTGCTCAAAAGAGCTGACAGTCCTTCCACAACTTCCTCGCCTGCCTGGTTGGTTTCCTTTTTGATCAGACACATCCAATGAAGGTAGAAAATAATTTAGATACACACCAGTTTTTAATTAAATTTAGTATGGCAGGCTGTGATTAAGCTACATTCTCCATAATTTGTTTTGCATTTGCTAATGACAGAGTTATATATGTATGTAACAGAACTGTAAGCAAATTTTCATTTTTAGAGTTAAAAGAACCTTTAATACTGTACTTGGTTTCAGAAAATGGAAACACGTGCATTTACTGGTGTCTGAAATTTCTGAGAAAAAGAATGCTGTGTTTCTGAAGGGCAGAACACATCGTGAAACAAATACCATCATACACATGTAAAAATTAATACATCAGAAGCATTATCCCACTCAAATACACAAACCACGAGCTGTAGAGTCGAATGCCCGTTAAAGACAGGGGCGAGTTTGTTAGATCTTGGTGCTTGTCCCTGACAGCTCTCCCTCCACCAGCCGGGGCTGGGTGGCACCTGGAGCCCTGGGGACAGCCGGGGTGCAGCCAGAGCCGCTCTGCGCTCCCCGCCCCGGGCACAGCTGGCCCGGAGCGCACCGGGGATCGCGGCGCTGGGAGCGGCTCCGCAACACTGAGGTGGCTCGGCCGATGGCAAAGGAAGCCAGGTCGGAGCAGGAAGGGCCAGAAGAAGATGGGATGCCAGAAATGACATCGGCCAGTTGGGAGATGAGAGACGTCGTCAGGGCCATGGGTGGGGACAGAGGAGAAGCAGCGGAGATGCCGGCAGAGAAAATGTCAGTAGTAACCAGGGTTAGTACTTCTGTCAGGGTCATTAAAGAACTGCTGAGAAAAGGCACAACTGGAGTTAAGATCCCTGTGCATGAAGTCCTGCAAACAAGGAAAAAGCTGTTTCAGGAAAACTCTGTCTTGCAGAAAAACAGAAAAGATACGGCATTGTTGCAAGCAGCACTCAAACCTTGACTAACCTTCAGCTGAGATTTCACCTCCCCTACAAAGTTTATTTACATTTATACGGGAAGCAGCGAACAGGAAAACGTCATTACATGTAAAAACATCATGCTAAAAAGAGTTTGCGAAACTGTGTGAAGCCGGGAAGCGTCACAAACGAAGTCGCGCTTGTGGCAGTGCCCGAGCTGTGCAGGGCAGGGCAGGGCAGGGCGGAGCGGGCTGAGGGAGCGGAGGGCGCTGAGGGGCGGAGGGCGCTGAGGGCGGCCGGGCCCGGCTCCATTTCCCGCCCGTCACCTGACGCCTCTAATGGCGCCGCGCGGCCGCGCGCCCACGTGACCCGCCGTGCGCCCCACGTGACCCGCGGCCGCCGCGCCCCCTCCCCAGCGGCTGCGGTTACCGCAGTGCCCGGCCCCGCCCCGGCCCCGCCCCCTGCGCGCGGCCCCGCCCCGCGCCGCTCCCTGCGCGCGCGTCCTCCCCCCCCCCGCTCCCCCCCCTGCACCTCCCGGGCCGGGCGGTGCGCGCGCGCGGCCGGCGGCGCCTCCTCAGAGCGGCCGCGGCGGGTTCGGCGCTGACGGGGCCGACGGGCCGAGAGCGGCGGAGCGGCCGGAGCGGGCGGCGCCTCTTCCTCCCTCCTCCTTCTCCTCCTCCTCCTCCTCTCTCCTCCCTCCCGCATCCTCCTCCTCGCCCGCCTCCGCCCCCCCGCACGCAGCACCGCGGTTCCCGGCACGGACAACATGGCGGCGGTGTCGGGGGCAGGGGCTGCGGGCGGCTCCGCCAGCGCCGGCGGCCCGGAGATGGTGCGGGGACAAGTGTTCGACGTGGGGCCGCGCTACACCAACCTCTCCTACATCGGCGAGGGGGCCTACGGCATGGTGTGGTGAGTGCAGCCGCCGGGGCAGCGCCCTTGCCCCGGACAACTCCCTCCTCCCTTCCCTTCCCTCCTTCCCGCCGCCCTGCCCGGCCGCGGGCCTGGCCCGCCCTTGCCCTCGGGGAGGGGGAGCAGCCCTGCCTCCCTCTCCTCAGCTCTGCCTCCCTCTCCGTGTTCCCGAGGTTGTCTCTCCGGCATCACCCTTCTTTCCTCTCCCTCCCTGCACCCCCCCATCCCTCGGTCGGTGGGTGCAGCTGAGCGTCTTGTTTTGTTTCGCTCCTGCGTTTATTTTCTTTAAATCTTGTGCCTCTGGAGTTGGTCGCTCTCGTTATTTCCTCCGTCTCCGTAGTGCGATTGCAGACGTTCGGAGGGGGGGGAGGTAGTAAATCCTGCTGGCAGCCCCGCGTCCCTTGCAGAGCCCTGCGAGGGCTCACCTGGCTGCAGCAGCCCGAGGTCGCGGGGATAAAAAAGGTGAATCTGAGCAGAGGAGTTGCTGCCGCTGCCTGACTTTGCCCAGGACGTGCTGTCTGTGCTGCAGAGCTGGCCGGATTAGTGCCTGCCTTACTGTGTGCAGGTGAAAGTTCTCTTTAGCTCTCCTAGGTCCAAATTATATTGTATTATAAAGACTTAGTCTGAGTCTCGCTGAAAAGCGATCGTGTATGTTTGCTGTGGGTAACATTGGTCTTACAGAGCGAACTACAAAAAAACGTGAACTAACTGGATTAAGAGTGTGAGATGGATTTTTTAGCAGTCTCAATGAGCTGGGGTGATGCTGTCTGATCTGTGCATCTAATGACTAGGTTATTAACCTGGCATGCTCAGTAGCTTTACTTAGGATTTTATATTTTGTCTTCCATTAGTTAAAAAAAACCTGTAGTCCTGAAATAACTTAAGGGATGCAGGTGAAAAACTCTTTTTTATTGCTGTTTTATCAACTTCCTTGCAACGCTGCCTTTGTTTCTTCAGTATGGTTTTTGACCAGAAGTACTAAAAGCGACTTACAGGCTGTGACTTAATGAAAGCTTTATCAGCATTAATTTCTTTCTCTGATGAGGGATCTTTTGTAAAGCAGTGCATTTCTCAGCGAGGACACCTCACAGCCTTCAGCTGTGTGCTACAGATTTTTATAGCTGTAGGTTTTTGCACATAGTCACTGAATTGTGCTGGCCTGTCAGGATGAAGTCATTGTGTGTTTCAGGGAGGGAGCTTTCATCTAGGCCTGAGTTCAGCTGGGAGATGAGCCTCTCTCAGAGTTTTGTGTTGTGGCCTTCACTTTTTTTTCTTTGCTGTGGGAAGAACCTTCGAAATGTAAATCAAAAATCCCATTTACAGTGTAAAAATATCCTTGTTATTGTTTCAGTGTTAGAAATCACAGTAATATATCTAGTCCAAAATTTGTTGATATGTCTTCTGGTACAGGCTGTATTTTATTATGGTTATTTTATCATCTGGAACAGGGTAAGGAAATGAGTGCAGATAATCTCAGTAGTGGCTGCACTGGTTTGCATTCACAGTCAGGTTTTTGAAGGTCCTGGGGAGTAGCATAGCTGAGGTGTGTGCTGGGGACAGTCCAGTTCACTTCAATGGGGTGTTAAAAACTGGGTTTCACAAACAAAGTGATAAAGCTGAAATATTTCACCACAGATCAGGGACTGCAAGAAGCAGCACGATGGCAGTTGATGCCCTTTTTTTGGCATCCTTGTGCCAGTGAGCAGATACAGGGGAAACAGGGCCACTTCTGCCCCTCCAAATGGTGTGTGGTAAACTTCTACACTGAAACTGTTCCCACTCCAAATCCAAAAGATTGATTTTTATTTGAAAACTTCTTCTAATACTTTGTGTCTGCTGTGAATGCTGTGCAAAATCACTATCAAATTGATAATTTCCAAATCTCCAGTTCAGCTGAAATACGCACTTGGCTCCTTGCACTTGTCTGTAAAATTATTAACATAAAATGCCACATTATGTATTTTGTGCTCGTGATTATTGCTCTTGTGCCTTGGGTGTGAAATGACAGGGAACAAAGTCTCAGTTTATGGCGTGTACATGATCAGGAAAGTGTTGGATGCACTTGTAGCAGTGCCATAGCAGCTGTGCTCTATTGTGGTGACTGCGATGAAATGCGATTGCCTATCAATCCCAGCCATGCAGGTTGTGCAGTTTACTGCTCTGTGCTTCTTGTTTTGCTCTGGTTGCTAATGCAGTGAGGATCTGCAGAAGCTTCTCCCTCAGGGGGTGGGGTAGAGGGCAAGCTGTGAGTGTGCAGATGGAGATGTTTCCTGCAACTGCAAAATCCATTTAAATTTGTACACTTTAATAAAGGAAAGCAAAGCAGGCCCTGGTGGTTTTGTTTTAGACCCACAGCTAATGTGGAGCTCTTCGGAGATGATACTTATTTACAAGTGCACTGTGCCATAAGGCTTGTTACTTGGTAAATGAGTGTCTTTTGAATCTTAAAATCCTTCACTCTCTTGTTTTATCCTGATTCTTATGTTTCTACGTTATTGGATTAGGGATTTGAAAACAATAAAATGCTTTCGATTATATGAGTAAAAGGGCAAATGAAGTATTCTTAGGACAGTGCTGTTATGGTCAGTCTTCCATTTTGATTTTGCAGCAGAGAGAATAATGTTTGAGAAATATTGATCACAACATAAAATACCAGTACAGGAAATAGAGGAAGATGTTGGCTGAAGAGACTGTACGTGAATGTTCTCTCATCTGGATTTGAAAACACTTAAAGGCATTTAACTGTTTTCCCTAGTGCAGTCATTTTTTTACATAATCAGATTTTGAACAAAAATAAACTCAGCAGAGCAGTATATTTACTGCTGTGTTGTGGTTGCACTTTCTCAGCTTCGTAAGCAGAAAAGACACATTATCAGGCTAAACCCCAACCTAATGTCCTCCAGTTCAACTCTGCCAGAATCGTTCAGCCTGTGACGCAGGCTGCTGCCTTACTCTTGTTGCAGAGGGTGAAGTGGTAGGAGGTGGATCCCTGTCAGAGCCCCTTTCTAACCCGTTTTTGTTTTGGTTGTTCTGCATGTGTAACTAAGGGCTGACACAGAGCAAAGTTTGCGCCAAAATCTTCATTACTTCCTAGGACTGCAGGACATTCTTTGAGCAATTACTTAGTCATACAGTCATGTTTGTTACTCTGACTTAATTTATCCAAATACATGTAAATGATGTGTTGTCTTCTTCCTCTCTGCTTTCACTTAAGAATTTTTAGTTCTTTTGGGGGGTGTTGGAGTAAAGTTCTTTAAGTGACTTTCCCTTTTATTCAGTGATAGGATGTTATCAGCATCAGAGTCAGATGGAACATACTTTTAGACCAGGTCTGAGAGTTTCAGAAATACGTTTCAAATAAAACAAATTGGGAAAGGTTGTTGGGGTTGTTTCTTTCTCCCCTTATGTGGGCTTGGTTTTACTATTATTAGTACTATTGTTTTAAATCAGCCTCTTAACAAGATGTACTTCAAACACACTGGAACAGCAATAAAAACATTATAGAGTTGAGCTTTACATTTCTAGTGTGACTTGTTCTTCCTCCAGTTGATCAGTGGTAATTTGGCAAGGATGATAATTTGACAGTAAAAAACAAATAATCATTTTGGAAAGAAATGGTGAATTGAATGTGATAGAGATGTTCTCATTTTTATCCTAGCTTTTGGAAGCTTTTTTTGTCATCAGGCTTATATGAATGTGAAGTAATATCAGTGCTGCAAATAACTGCTTATAAATAAGCAGTTGAATGCAGATGAGTGCAGTTGGAAGAAAATAATCTGCAAGCTCAAATCTTGGATTTCTTGATCTGAATTTGCCACGTTACAAAGAGAGCTTTGTGTTACTGGTGTGCTGTGAAAGAGTGATGTTAGAAGTTTAGGTAGTCAATAGGTAAATGTTAAAGTAATACTGAAGAGAATACTTAAAACACTTGGCAGTAGATTCTTTAAAGTTACACTTCTCTCTACTGTCTCATGGAACTGCCCTACTTTTAGAGCATCAATAATTTAAAATTAAGAGAAGCATATTAATAAAGAAACAAAACCAGAAAGAAATCAGGAATAGAATGATTTGCAAGGCATAGGTATTGATATTAAAACGTGAAATTTGAATGGCATTGATTATTGCATAATAGTTTCTTTTGAGTTACATAAAAAGGTGGCTTTTGCATCCTCTGTGGGGGGCAGCATGGTGGCTGAGGTGGGCTGCTCAGTGGCAGTGATCAGAAAGAGCCTGTTATGTTTGCTCTGTTAACTCTTGCCTGGATCCAGAGAGACGCAGAGCCCTTTACTGATGGAGCCAGTGCAGGGACCTGTGTCCCTGTTCGCGTGTGCTTTTAGGGAGCACAGGTTGGGTTTGGGTGTCCATACCTGGTAATTAACATGTTCTGTCTGTGTGATAAGGGGAACAGGGAGCTGATACAACTTAGCCAACCCGCCCCCAGTGCAAGGATCAGAGGAGGGAATTAGGGAGTGTAATTGGTGGCTAGTTATCAGCTTCTTCCCTCTGGGGAGAAGGCAGATGTAAGCACTTCCCTTCAGTCACTCAAGCTTCTAGCACTTACCTAACCTGGCGTGGGAATCCAAAGGAGAAATTAGAGCTGCTTTTCCTGCTCTCCCCGGTGATGGACAGGTGGCCCCCACAAGCTCTGCAGCAGGGACAGGTAGCAGCCACTCACTCCGTGTCAGAGCTGTCAACCCAGGGCAATGGGATACTGGCTTAGCTGAAGAGTGCAGCTCATGGATACTTGATTTTATAAATAAATACATGTTATTCTAGCACAGCATGATCCATCCTCCATCCCTTGGGAACAGACAGAGATATCTTATGGGTTTTCTTAGAAGCATGCTTTATTAAAGAAATAAGGCTTATATGTGTATGTAGCTGCATCTGTCCATCTCCCATACCCGTATGTGTGATTCTAGTACCTGTTGCCTGCCTCCCATCAGATCTGACAGATGGTAAAAGTCTTAAAGATGGAAAGTTATTCTGCAGGTTTCACA